GGGTCTTCACCCCACCTTCCACCCACAGGCTCAGCCAGCCAGGACCACTGGATCATACATGGGGTGCTCACGGAGATCCCCAGAGAACAACCTGGGACATTCCCATGTGGGTCCTGCTGCATTACTCCCCCAGGATATTTTAAATACATGTTTGCTACTTCCAAATCTGCCCCAGTATTATGCATCAGTTATGTAACACTGCATAAAACATATGGGATAGTTTTTTTTTGTTTTTGTTTTTGTTTTTGAGAGGTTTTCGCTATAGGGCGTGTGCACTCGCCAGACAGAGAGAGAGAGACAGAGAGACAGAAAGCAAGAAATCACCCCCCAGGGGGGATGGCCACGCCGCAATCCCTTCTCCTCCATTCTCCTCTTGGGATCTTAGGCACGCATGCACACGCGCCCAGCGTGAGTTTAAGCCACCGGGTCCAGGACTCGAACCACGGTCAACTACATGGGAGTCCAGCGACATAGCCATTACACTAACTGCTGGTCCCACATATGGGATACTTATACAACCCCAAAGTATAGTGGCTTAAAACAACAAAGATGTGCCCTTTCTCATGATTCTGTGTGTGATGATAATCTAGCAGTTCCACTGATGTCAGCCCTGGGGTCACTCACATGACTATAGTTATCACCAGCTCAACAGGAACTGAAGGAGCCCCAATAGCCTTGCACACATGTCTGGTATTTGGGGTCACTGACACTAGGCATCCTGCTTCTCCTCCCCGTGGGTGCTCTTTCTCAATGACTCTTTATTACATCATTAAAGTGTCACAAAGGTTGTCATCAGATACTGGGTTTTCAGAAAAAGCCATGACACTTTTCCTATGCTTTCCTATGCAAAAATGCATCTGTCTTTTCTGACGATCCAAAATAGTTTATTTATTTAAAACAATTATGTTCCCAAGTCAGAATTTTTTAATGACTGAGATCCTGATTGCCCTCTGCTCTAACTCCAGCCAGTTTGTGAATTCCTGTTACGATGACCAACTTGATCATTTCCAGTAACATCACATAGTTTGGAAATGGCCTGTCCCCCAAAGGTTCATGTGTTAGGAGTTGGTTTTATTGTAAAGGTGTTAAGTGAAAACGTAATCCCTTCATGATGTCCCAGGATGGGGCCTTTGGGTGTGATAAACTCATTAGTGTAGGGCCCTTCTGATGGGATTCTGGTGGGTATATAAGCAAAGAGCATGAGACCGGAAGGCAGAGAGAGAAATCATGATAGAGATGACACTCTGCCCAAAGTTCTATCTTCTGTCATTCTGTGATGTCTTTGGACTATCCAGTCATCAGAATTTTGAACCAACAAACCTCTGTCTGTTTGTTTGTTTGTTTGTTTCTTTCTTTCTTTCTTTCTTTTCTTTCTTCCTTTCTTTCTTTTTTTCTTTTTTTTTTTTTTTAAAAATCAGAGCATTTCTTTCTTTGTTTCTTTTTTTTTTTTTGGAGAGTTTTTTTGCTATAGGGCGTGTGCACTCGCCAGACAGACAGAGAGAGACATAGAGATAGAAAGCGAGAAATCACCCCCCGGGGGGATGGTCATGCTGCAATCCCTTCTCCTCCATTCTCCTCCCGGGATCTTGGGCACGCACGCACATGCACCCGGCGTGAGTTTTAAGCCACTGGGTTTGGGACACGAACTGCGGTCGACTACGTGGGAGTCCAGCGACATAGCCATTACGCTAACTGCTGGTTCCCCAAACCTCTCTTTCTTTATAAATCACCCAGTCTCAGTTATTTTGGTGAACAATGCAATCATGTTCCGAGACACAGTAGAAGGCAGAGAAACTGTTCCTCAGCAGTTCTGATTAGAATCCTTTCTTTCCCTTCAACTGAGCCTAAGTCTGCCCCCCTTTATATCCAAAATTTTGCAGCTAATAGTAGTCGGCCTTTCAAATCTAAAGGACGGGAGGTTGAATAATCTCATATGGTTTAGAGGATGGCTCTGGAGTCAGAATGCCCAAGTGTGAATCTCAGCTTTGTCACTTTCTAGCTGTGTGACCTAGGACACATGCATAACCTCTCCGTGCCTCGATTTCCTGGTGTGTAACAGAGATAGCAGCCCTCAGAGGGCTGCTGTGAAGATTAGCACATACAGCAACAGCAAGTGCCTTGGGCATAGGAAGATCTGAAAAGCTTATTCTTGTTGCTTTCAGTGTTACTGCTACTATTAAGTACAAAAATAAGGCTTAATTATTCAGTCCAATAATACTCCTTCAAATGTCTGAAGATAATTAGAACCATGTACTCCATCTAAGCCCTCTTCCAGAACCAACATCCATGATTCCTTCAATGCTTTGGTTCCCAGATCCTTAACCATCTAGTCCCTAGTACGGGGACTACATGTATGTTAGCTGTCACATCATAGCACCGGTGCCACCTGTCCAGGCAGCTGTCCTGTTCCAATGTGAGTAACACCTGTACACGGCAGTATTCCTGTTACAGTATAAGTACCACCTACACACGTGGGTGCCTCTTTATAGTATAGGCAGGTACCTGTGGGGTGGTTGGGAAAGTCATGACGCAACTTCACATAGCAAAATACCTCACGACCTTCCCGAGCACCTAATATAACTGAACCCCAAACTCCAGACGTAGCAGAGAGTGAAAGGAGGACAAGACCATCGCACTCTTGTCTCAGAAACTATACTTCAAGCAGTGCCATCTTGGACCCATGAGTGTCAATGAGCACCTGGTGAGAATGGTGAGTTGCACCATCTGTAAAATCAAAATCTAAAGATTTTGTCTGTGGGATCCTTCAAAGATGGCTCCCCTGGAAAGGGCCAGGTCCTCATCCCTGGGACCTATCAACTATATTGTCTTATGTGGCAAAGGGGCTTCTCAGATGTGCTGAAGTTAAGGATCTTCCCAAGGGGAGAGTATCCTGGACTATCTGGGTGGGCCCAGTGCAACCACAGGTGCCCTGTGGGAAGGCAGGAAGGACCGAGAAGAGGAGATGCGATGATGGCAGTGGAGGTTAGAGGAAGGAGGAAGTGGCCATGAACAAAGGAATGTAGGAGGCATCTCGAGGCTGGTAAAGGCAACGAGAGCAGCTAAAGATTCTCCCCCAGAACCCCAGGATTGAGCCAGGATGACCCATTTTGGACAGATGACCACTAGAACCACAGGATAATAAATACAGTTTGTTTGTATTTTTAACTTTACTTATTTATTTATTTTAATTTGACCAGAGAGGGTGAGGGGAGTGAGAAAGCAAGCCGACAGATCCAGGAATCAAACTGCAGTTGGCCATCTGGGAGTCCAGCACCCTTAACCACCATGCCACCTGCTGGCTCCAGCCCCAGTAAATATGTTCTTTTAAGCCAGTAAATGTGTGGCTATTGTTACAAGCCCAAAAGGACTACTGCAACATGCCTGCCCTCAGTCAGATCATGGCCTCATGGGAGGAAATACCTAACTAAAAGGATTTATATAAAACCGATTGTTTTTTAATCCAATCGTTATACCCTTTAAAAACTTAAACTAGAAGAAAACTCAACCTGAAAACAAAGAATTGTACTCAGTATTCACTTAGCGTATTTTGGCCTCTACCTCACACAGATAGCAATCTTTTAATCAAACATAACTCTTAAATCCTTTTATATGAACTTCCCTGAAGCCAGACTTCCTCCGTTAAAGCCCAGCAGAAAGGAGTCCCTTTTATACGACACTAATTCCAAAAAGCTACTGAAGTGACACTACACTCTTCGTGTAAGTTCTCAACCTATTTTAAGCCTTCTTAACCAAGAATCATGCCTACTACTAACATTTTCCAGCTCTGGGCATCTGAATGAAACAAGTTACCTATGACCTATTTTACATAAACTTTTATTTAAATATAAAGAAAAAACTGTAAGGCTTTCAAGAAGTGTACTCCAGTAATTACCACTGAGATAAACAAAAGCAAAACCCGAAGGCCTCAAAGGCCACCTCTAGCCTTTTTGTCAGCAGCTCCATCAAGGGGACCACTACACTGGCTTCTACCACCATAGTTTATTTAGTTTTGCCGGTTTTTGAACTTTATAGAAACGGAATCCACATGGGTCCCACTCGGCCAGCTGTGCATGTTGAGTCCTGGACCTGGTAGCTTGAAAAACACACTAGGCACATGTGCATGGGTGCCCCAAACTGGGAGACGAAAATGGAAAAGAAGGGACTGTGGTGTGGCCATCCGCCTTGGGAGTGACTTCTCACTTTCTCTGTCTCTCTCTCAGTCCCTCTCTGGCAAACAACACCCCCCCCCCCCCCCCGTCCCTCTCTGGCAAGCATACACACCTTATGGTAAAACTACATTTTAAAAAAATAGAAGTTGTTTTACTTTGATTTCTTCCATCATTATTGTTTTAGATTTCATACTGAGGTGTATGCTGTGTATGGGATGGGGTAGATTTAGTTTGTCTTTACGGGATCCAATTGACAGAGCACCATTTACTGAGGGGCTGTCCTTTGTCTACCACAATGCAGTGCCGCCTGCGTCATACGTCTGAAGACCACGTGTGTATCAGCCTATTTGTGGAGTCTCTACTCAGTTCCACGGTCTGTCTAGCCTTGGGCCAGGACCACAGGGGTATAACTACATACGGGGCTAGTAACGTAAGTCCTTCCATTTTGCTCTTTTGAGATTGTCTAGAATTTCCAGATGAATTTTAGAATAAATTTATCAGCTTCAACTGTTAAAAATCTGCTGTAGGGTGTGGGGGGCCAGCAGGTGGTGCAGTGGTTAAGGGCACTGGACTCCCACATGGTTGACTGCAGTTCGAGTCCCGGACCTGGCGGCTTGCTTTCTCACTCTCTCTTTCTCTCTTTTTCTCTCTCTCCCTTTAACTCTGTCCCTCTCTGGTCAAACTGAATAAATAAGTAAATAAATAAATAAAGTTAAACAATATAATTCTTTTTTAAAAAATCTGCTGGGGTGGGGAGGTGGCAGGTGGTGTGGTGGTTAAGGCACTGGATTCCCACATAGTTGACCTCAGTTCAAGTCTCAGACCTAGCACTTTGAAAATCACACCAACACATGTATATGCTCAAAATCCCAAGAGGAGAATAGAGAAGGAATTCAGCATGGCCCTCACCCTGGGGGTGATTTCTCCCTTTCCTTCTCTCTGACAAGTGCATATACCCTACAGCAAATGCCTAACAAAATAAAAAATAAAAGTCAACTAGAGTTTTGATTGGGATTGTAGATACATGGGTTTATTCTACAGAACAATAACATGAAGATGCCCTCCATTATTTTAAATCCGCTTTAAATTTTCTCAATGCTTCAGCTTACAGGGTTGTTTTTTGTTGTTCTTTTTAATTGTACTGGGTGGTACATTTTATCAAAGAGTTTTTCTTTTATTCTGTGCATGTAATTAGATTCTATTTATTGACTTTCTTTTTTTTTTTTTTTTTTTTTTTTTTAGGGTTTTTTGCTGTAGGGAGCCTGCGCTTGTCAGAAAGACAGAGAGAGACAGAAAGACAGAAACCAAGAAATCACCCCCCACCCCCCGCCACAGGGAATGACCATGCCACAATCCCTTCTCCTCACACGCACATTGCCTGCCGTGAGTTTAAGCCACCAGGTCCAGGACTCGAACCGCAGTCAACTACGTGGGAGTCCAGTGATATAGCCATTTCACCAAATGGTCCCAACCATTTATTGACTTTCTAATGTCAGAGTTTCCTTTCCTGCAATAAATCCAACTTGGTCATGATTTGTTATTCCTTTTATAGATGGCTACATTTGACTTGCCAATACATTGTTTCAAGGCTTCTGTATA